GAGGGGGACACGGTCAGGAATGCCCACTGTCTGTCCTGTATGAGAGCCGGAGGGGGACACGGTCAGGAATGCCCACTGTCTGTCCTGTATGTGCAAGAGGGGGAAACGGTCAGGAGCACCCACGGTCTGTCCTGTATGAGATAGAAAACCCTGATCACCCTGCTGTATGAGAGCCCGAGGGGGACATGGTCAGGAGTGGCCAGTGTCCTGTATGAGCCAGAGGGGGGCACAGTCAGGAGCACACTCTGTCTGTGCTGTATGAGGCAGGACAGGGGCTGAGCCTGCTGGCCTGCAGCATGAACACAGGCGACCCGCGGCTGCTCTGTAGCTTGCAGTTCAGATTCTTGCTGCCTGCGGCCATTTACCTGGGCTCATTTTAACAGGCACTTATTGATTTTCTAGGTATTATGAGGGTACAAAGGCCGAGACAAGGGTCCTGCCCCCACCCTGACCAAACAAACAGCACACACTGGTAGGAGAGCCCCGTGCTAGGAAACATGCAAACTTGCGGCGTCTGACGCCCTCCGAGAGCCAGCCCTGGCTAGCCGCCTAGCTGGCTGACCTCACTTCATCCTCACGGGCACTGCCCTCCACTGCAGGGCCGGCTTGGGCCTGGGTCTTCTTGGTTCCAGGCCCGCTGCCTTTTTACACCATGCTGCGGCAGGCCTCTTCTAAGCTTGATTAGAGGAAGATTTTCCTTCTCACCATTTCTGGAGAATAAAAAGTTACACAATATGAAGGGACGGTTGTAGGGCTCTGGAAGTGATGTTGGGCAAGAACAAGAAGGGGCTTTCAAGTCCCAGCACCGTCACCGACCAGCTGAGACCCCCAGCCTTCCTGTGGCACCTCCTCCGTAGGGGAGAGGACCCTGCCTGTACTGTCGGGCCACTGTAAGGACTGGAGGAGGGAGTGTAAGCGTCCAGCCCAGGACCCGACACTGGGGAGGTGCTTGGAAATTCTACTTTCCTTCTTTTTCCCAGTTTGATATTTTCAAAACTCATTTTTCAGTAGATAAAAAAAAAGCTAACACCTTAGCGATGCCTCCCTCCTGGCTGGCTCCTACCCGCACGGTAACTGCGTTTCCTCCGGACCCTTCAGACGTCCTTTAGGCATTTATGAGTACACATGACGAGCTGGTGTCCCCGTCCTTAGACGGAAGCATAGCAGTGTTTATCCTGTGCTGCACCCCCAATTTCCACCTAACCAAAGCCTGCCGTCTGCCCACGCCTGCACAGCTTTCACAGCCACAAGGCGGCCCGCCGTGCGGGTGGCCCACCGTGCATCTAGCCAGACCCCCAGGCACGGCAGGCCTTCCTAGCCTGAGCCCTCCACGTATGTCCTGTCACACATGTACCAGGGTTGTTGCTGGGTGCCGTTAAGTCAGTTCTGACTCCTAGTGACCCCTGTGACAGAGGAGAACTGCCCTGTAGGGTATTCTAGGCTGTAATCTTTATGGGAACAGATCACCAGGTCCTTCTCCAATGGAGCCACTGGGTGGGTTCGAACGGCCAACTTTTGGGTTAGCAGCTGAGCACTTAACCGTTGCACCACCAGGGCTCCTTTGTACCAGTGTGCTGGTAGCTAAATTACCTGCAGTGGAACTGCTGAATCAAAAAGTAATTCAGGCGTTAACATTCATAAAGGGTATGGATGCTTTCATGTTGCAACTACCCTAAAGCCAAGAGGTTAGTTCAAAAAGCACCAAATGAGCAGAAGCTCTCTTGCCTGAGGATTCAAGGGGTGACTCAGCTGACACGCCACAGCTGGGAGGGTGCTTCCCATGCCCTCTCATCTCTCCTGCAGCAAACCAGGCCTCCCAGGCAGGCCGGGCCCAGGGCCTCATGCCGAGCTCAGAGCGGTGCTCGCAGAAACACTGGCTGTTGAGGCTGATGGGAAGGCTCAGGGGGATTCTGGGGCAGACAAGCATTTTGAAAAGCATGCGCTGACGCCTTATTTCTTCACCTTGCTTTCTAGAGTGCTCGGAGCAGTGGGGGCACCCGCTGTGACATCGGATAGTGCTGAGGGGAGGCTGTGGCACGGGGGCACGGAGAGGCGGTCGGCAGGCTTTCGGGCCGTAGTATCTCACAGGGAAGGGCCCTCTCCTGACAGCAACTACCTCAGGTGCCCTGGAAGCCAGCTGAAACATATGCTGTGATACGAAGAAAGAGAAGAGCTTTCCAAACGCCTGTCACTGAATATGCAGAAAAGTTAAAAGCTAGTATTAGGACTGCTCTGTGCCTGACGTTTCAAGAACTGACATGTTCTTTAAAGGTTTAGATCGCTGGACTGCCACTTCTCATTCCTAAGAAACCACTGCAGAAAAGGATCAGACCCGAGGGCAAAGCATCACGCAGAAGCGTTCAATGCAGCGTTCGTTATAACAGCAAAACACAGCAATACACCCACATGTACCTCTGCTAGGAAAATGGTCAGATAAATTAGGCCTGAGTGCTAGACCGTTACACAGCACAAAAAATCTTGTTTTCAAAGAGCATTCACTAACATATATTATGTTAAGGAAAAAAAGGTGGGAAGGGGGCAAACCGGACTATTGGCCATGCTCAAAAGTGACTCCCTGTCTTCATGCTTTTCTGTATTTTCCTACAATGAATGTGCATCAATTGAGAACCAGAGGTGGAGGGGAGGGAGTCCATTAAATAGGATTCACTTTTTAAAAATAGGTAAGATTTAAAAAACAGAAGCATAAATGTGTGGTAATGCCATGGTTAAGCAGAACAGCAAACCTCAGAAATCAATTTCTGATGATCCCAAGAACTGTACTCCATTCTGCCAGCTTCTAGATGGCTATTTACATATAGAAGGATCTGCCTTAATGTGTCTCAATAAGCAGCTGTCTCCTCAGTTTCTAAGAAATGGCACCAAGACGGAAGGCCCAGGAGACTTCTCAGCATGTCCATGTGATGTAATCTCATTAGCTTCATTTTTTCAACGGCATTAAGTCAGAGAGTGACTTTTTTTAAAGCCTACGAGAATCTGCGTTGAACCAGCTCAACAAAAGGATATGGCTCTAAATCATTCTCTCTGTCAGTAAGAACAGAAGGCTGAAGGCTGCACCCTCTTAAAAGCACCACGCTTGTTTGAGAATTAGAACAAAGTCCTTCCCACCTCACTGGAGACAGCTTGTCATCCTGGAAAGTGTAGGTGTTTTAAGAGCAGGTAGATTTGTTCTGGAGCCCCAGGTCGTGCAAACAGTTACGTGCCTGACTAACCGAAAGGCTGGTAGTTCAGACCCACCCAGAGGCACCTTGGAAGAGAGGCCTGGCGATCTACTTCTGAAAGGTCACAGCCGAGAAACCCCTGAGGAGCACAGCTGTACTCTGAACAGGGGGTTGCCACGAGACGTGGCGACAACTGGTTCAGTTTTTTTTAGATTTGTTCTGGTACCACTAGCTTTGTCTCTAGCTGCGTGACCCTGGGCAAGTCGTACACCTTTCTGAGCCCTGGTTCTGTCGATTTGAGAGGACGCAACAAGACTATCTCAACTCCTTTGCGCTGGAAGAGTATGTTTGGAGGCCTTGCTGGAAGGCAGGCCTATCACTGAATGGGGCTTGGCCGACATCTGAGTGGACCAGAGAGTGGAGGGATGAGACGCTCTGCACGTGCAGCGTCAGGACACGCCTGCTGCATGAGGGCAGCCACACAGCCTGGAACAGTGGAAGAGGCTGCACAGGCCCGGCTCACTATTATTTACTCCCCATTGCTAACCACCCGCCACATCCTCTCCTGATTTTTCCCTCCCGTTACAAAAAGGTTTCCCCTGGAGGGTGGAAAACGAGTGATAATGATCTAAGAATGAAAAACCAAACAAAGCACCCATCTTGTGACAAGAAAAAGCAGGATGTCACCAGATAATCCCCAAGGACGTCACCAGATAACCTCTAAGAATACCAGTAGAAGGTTAACTCATCTAAGACATCATCACCTCAGGGGGAAACGACCACAAAAGATCCACAATCCTGGCCCTATAAAAGACTCCAGCCGATCTCCAGTGGGGCAGACGGGTTTTTTGGAGGAATCTATTCTCCTTCATCTCCTATATATTGATATATAATAAACATCTTGCTGCTCACCTCACCTCTGTCTCAGAATTGGCTATTGCGGCAGGTGGCTCTAATCCGCGTTATTGCGGTAACAACAGGAGCCCTGGCCGCGGGTAACTAGCCCCAGCCGGAGGCACGGAGCGGGAAGCAGAGGAGCCTACAGTCATCGGCCCTGAGACGCCCAGCCCAGCTGGCTCTGAACACAGGTGCTGAGCCTCCCCTCGGCGCCTCATGGTGGCAACGCCTCCGACCTGCCGAGGATCCACCCGGCCCGGGGGAGCCCCGCTCTGCTGCCACCAGCCTCTGGGGACATTTCTTCTGTGTATTCCTCCTCCAGCACTTGCCTTAACTCTGGGCTCTGTTCTCAGAGCCGATTCCCAGTCGATTCAGCCGTGGACCTGGGGTTTCCCACGTCCCCACAGGACAGACCTTAGTACCCTGTGTGTGACACCGAGGACTGACCCCTGCCTCTTAGCTGCCCTGGTGCCCTCCGGAGATTCTCTCTCTTCTATTATTTGACCTGCACTGCTCTGACTATAATGATGCCTCTGGGGAGAACACCACACTGGGCTGATAAAAGAAAAATGGCAAGTGCTTTGAAAGGCAAAGAGGATTTGGTAACAGCAGCAGGCCTGGTGTTCTGGAAGGCACTCAAAATGGGCAATATTTAATTCAGAAGCCACAATGAGAGGGATCTTCTGAACACACAGCATGAGTCTCACCTCCGAGGAATCGGGTGTCTGAGCGCAGGGGAGGGAGGCTCGGTTACACCCTCTCAGGTGACAGGAGCTGTCACTCAGTTTGAGCTGGGCCGGTAGGTGCAGTGTGGTGAGAGAAAAAAAGCCCATTTGTTGATTCTCCCTTCACCCCCAAACTGAACAATCAAACTGCAGAGACACTTCCCTACTTACTGGCAAGGTTTTGTCTCCAAAGAAATAGATGGGGTTATAACCGTCATTTTCCACATGTCTGAGGCAATACCGCTTATCCCATCCGTCTGGGAAGACGTCAAAGCTGATCTGGCCTCCTGCAGCGGGGGGTGGGGGGGTGGGGTGGAGGCAGGGGTGGGAAGAGGAGGGGAAACACAAAAGCCAAAGGTGAAAGAGAGGCTAATGACACATCACTAAAAAATGTCCTGTTTGTCCAAGGGAACATCACGGAAGCTCCACAGACCGTCCACACTCCCTGAGGGACCGAACGGCTGGGCTGAGGGCTGTGGGCACCATGGTCTCGGGAAACATCTAGCTCAACTGGCATAACATAGTTTATGAAGAAAATGTTCTACATTCTACTTTGGTGAGTAGTGTCTGGGGTCTTAAAGGCCTGTGAGCGGCCATCTAAGATACTCCATTGGCCTCACCCCTTCGGGAGCAAGGGAGAATGAAGACAACCAAAGACACCACGGAAAGATTAGTTCAAAGGACTAACAGACCACAACAACCACAGCCTCCACCAGACTAGGTCCAGTACAACTAGATGGTGCCCAGCTACCACCACCAACTGCTCTGACATGGATCACAGAGCTGGAGAAACACGTAGAACAAAATTTAATTCACAAAAAAAGACCAGAATTAATGGCCTGACAGAGACTGGAGAAACCCTGAGAGTATGGCCCCCGGACACCCTTTTAGCTCAGTAATGAAGTCACTCCTGAGATTCACCCTTCAGCCAAAGATTAGACAGCCCCATAAAACCAAATGAGACTAATGGGGAACAACAGTCCAGGGACAAGGACTAGAAAGCAGGAGGGGACAGGAAAGCTGGTAATAGGGAACCCAAGGCTGAGAAGGGACAGTGTTGATATGTCATGGGGTTGTTAACCAATGTCATAAAACAATATGTGTACTAACTGTTCAATAGAGAAACTAGTTTGTTCTGTAAATCCTCATCTAAAGTACAATTAAAAAAAAAAATGTACAAGTTAACCAAACAATAGTTTACCTTAACTAGTAACAGAATGTCTGCCTCGAGTTTGTACTCTTTTAAAATCTATCTACATGGATCAAGGAGCCTTGGTGGTGCAGTGGTTAAGTGCTCGGCTGCTAACCAAAAAGCTGGTGGTTCGAACTCACCAGCCACTCCTCTGGAGAAAGATGTGGCAATCTGCTTCAGTAAAGATTTACAGCCTTGAAAACCCACGGGGCAGTTCTACTCTGTCCTATAGGGTTGCTATGAATTGGAATCGATGCAACAGCAACTTTTTTTTTTTAAATATGGGATCAAATTAACGATAGCAAGTTGAAAGATTAGATATGTATATATACAATTTACTTTCTGGGTCAGTAAGATTGATTTTACAATATCTTAGTTTGTTGCTTACACTACTCTAGGGATATGTGCTAGAAATTAATTCTATGTTACTTTTTCCCAACATTACCTCACCTGGCTCTAAAAACAAGATGTAGTGTGCCACTGTGGAACGAAAAATGCATTTGAGCACTCAGTCAAGGGAGTGGGCGTAAGTGCAGCCCACTTATGAAAAATCATACAACGACTCCATTCGGTTGCACTCGTCTTGAGCGTGAACACGCCCTGAGTGGAAAATGCCCAGAAGGAAGCAGGCTGCAGCCGCTGGTCGTGCAGGAAAAATGAGAGCCAGCGAGAGTGATTTAAGGCAGCTTTCACAGGCAACACAGACCTGCCCAAAGCTCTGTGGGAAAGAGGTTCACCGCACAGTTTCTGAACACAGAAAAATATGCCCAGTCATCTATTATACATAATTCTTTTGCAATTCCAGTTCCCCACAAACTGTAGCATTTATAACGCTAGTAAACGCGGGGGCTGGAAGGGATGGCTGATCAGCATCGAGAATTCAGTTTGCCTAAAGGATGTGACAGGCAGCTGTGACCAAAAACCATGCCCGAGACAGCGCTGTGGAAGGCTGCGTCAGACACCACAGAGGTCAAGGCGGGCTGTGTGAGAGTAAATAACAGCTCTGTCAACCCAGACGAGCCCTTTCTCCCCCGGGTCTCAGTTTCCTGATCTGTAATTTCAACACAACTGATGTCGAAGGTTCCCCGCTGTTCTAACACTACATAGTTCAAGAAACATTTTTATGTATGATCCCACTTACATGAAATATCTATAACAGGAAGTGTACAGAGATCAAAGTCTGTATGTGGTGCAGTGGTCAAGTGCTCGGCTGCTAACCAAATGGTTGGCAGTTTGAATCCACCAGTGGCTCCACGGGAGAAAGACCTGGCAATCTGCTTCTGTGAAGATTTACAGCCAAGGAAACCCTATGGAGCAGTTCTACCCTGTCCTAGAGGGTCGCTGTGAGCTGCAGTTGACCTGACAGCAACAAGTACCAGGGGTGAGTTGGGGGAGGTGGGAAGGAAGACACACACTTAGGGAACACTGAGCTTCTGTTAAGGGTGATGGAAAAATTCACTAACAGTTAATGGTGATGGTTGAACAGCATGATGAACGTATTTAATGGCACTGAACTATACACATGAAGACTTGAAATGGCAAATGTTCTGTTACCTACAGAACCAACCCCCGACTCCACACAAATGTAGAGGAAAAAAAGTGACATTTTCAGTCCAATTTATCAACGAGGCATGTGTTTCATTTCTGTCCTCTAGAGTCCAATCCAGTGCCTCTGTGTCGCCCAGAGGTTTGCGGGTAAATTCTCACTCTTCATTAATCAAGATGCTCTTATTCTGTTTGTTCCGAGCATCGTGCTCTTTCAAAGAACTATCTGTCTGGGATCAAATTGACAACAGCAGCTCAAAAGGTCAGACAGGAAGCTTGCTGGGCAGTGAGTCTGTACTACTGGGGTGGGGGGAACAACTTGGAAAAGGAGGATGAGAAAGATTGTACAAGTACAAGAACGTAATCAATGGCACTGACTTGTACATGGAGAAATTGTTGAACTGGTATATGTTTTGCTGTGTATATTTGCAACAACAACAAAAAACTGGAAAAAAAAAAAAAAAAAAGACATTCTTATGCTGACCAGGAGGAGAAGTGCAGGTAGGAAGCGTCCCCCTGTCCCACTGGGTACGAATCCAGAACCACATCCAACGGTCTGGAAGTCATTTCCTGCCGGGGCAGGTATTGCTGGGGACGATGACGCAGAAACCGCAGGGGTTTTTCCCTACAGACTGCTCTACTCATCTAACCCTCTTCCCCACCTTGAAACCAGGCCCAGTCCGAGCTCTGTAGCTCCCCAGCCCACAGCAGACTCCTGTAAACGGTTTACAGTTGGGTATACCGTACCTATGGAGAATGTGAGGCCTTTTCCTGCAAACTCTTTCCTCAGGTCTGCAACAAATTTTTGTCTTATATTTTCTTTCTGAGAAAAACAAAAAGATACCGATTGTCTACTGTACTGCAGTTAAGAAGGCACACTGTAAAACAACAAATTTCTTTTCTTCCTCCTATGTAACCACTGGCCACAAAGCTGCACATCTTAACTCATTTTCATAAACCCAGCAATCTGACAAGGACATTTCAGACTCACTTTATCGAGTTCGTAGAACTCAATGCGTTCTTCTTGGCTGCAGCTTCTTCCAATAGGGGACACATTCAACATCCCGTTTCGGAATTCAATGAAAGTACCCCTGGGGAGGAAAAGGCGACAGACGTTTCCCGAGACACATTATTCATTTCGACAACGTTACAGATGAATAAACCCCAAACCAAACCAAACCCACTGCCATCGGGTTGATTCTGACTCATTGTGACCTTAAAGGAAGACACAGTAGGCGGACACAGTAGAACTGCCCCACAGGGTTTCCAAGGCTGTAATTTTTATGGGAGTAGACTGCCACATCTTTCTCTCATGGAGTGGCTGGTGGGTTCAAACTGCCGACCTTTCGGTTAGCAGCTGAGCACCTTAACCACTGCACCATCAAGGCTCCTACAGATGGATATACAGGATAAAAAGTTGGGCAGAGGCTGGTATGGTCAACATTTCTCAGAGCTGTGTAATATGGTAGCCATAAGCCACATGTAACTACTGATCTTTGAAACAGATCAGGCCAAATTGAGACTGGATTTAAAAGACTTAGAAAAAAAGGTGCAGTCGTGGCACAACAGTTAAGCGCTTGGCTGCTAATCAAAAGGTTGGTGGTTCAAACTCACCCAGAGGCTTTGCGCTGGGGACTGGCGATCTGCTTCTGTAAAGATTACAGCCTTGGAAACCCTATAAGGCAGTTCTACTCTGTCCTACAGGGTTGCTGTGAGTCAGAAGTGACTCGACGAACTCACAACATATGAAAAAAAAGCAATGGACTCCTTATCAGTAACATTTTATACTGATTATATGTTAAAAATGATTATAGTTTGGGTATACTGGGTTAAAGAAAATATACTATTAATTTCACCTGTTCCTTTTAGCTTTTTTCAGTGTGGCTACTGAAAACTCAATGAGTTCTGGTGGCGCAATGGTCAACTGCCTGGCTGCTAACCAAAAGGCTGGCAGTTCAAACTCACCAGCTGCCCTGCCAGAGAAAAGACCTGGCGATCTGCTTCCACAAAGACTGCCGCCCAGAAAACGCTATGGGGGCAGTGCTATTCTGTCCTACTGGGTAGCTGTGAGACAGAACTCACTGAACAGCACACAACAACTGAAAACTCACAACTGCACACGTGGCTCACGTTCCATTTCTGCGGGACAGTGCTGCTCTAGCGCACTTGATAGTTACTGAAGAGCTATGAAAATGATGACCAGCTCTACGCGAGCGCTCGATGGTTCCCTGAGGAGTTTGCAAAGATATATGTCTGACACCTGTTTTGCTAGTGAGCTCTGGGATATGCTAATTTCACCAAGCACAGCTACACAGAAGGAGCTTCTGAGAATTGTCCGATGAGCCTCAGTAATAACTGTGGAAACTCAGTTTACCCGCTGGCCAACTGCTCCTATGTGTTTGATCTGATCACAGGAAATGAGAATAGCCTTGCACTTTCTTAGTTACTGCCAATGAAGATATTTTTAAAAAAGCTTTTTTTTCTACCATGTTTCCAGTTTGAATCTCAAAATAGTTTCTTAGAAACTCAAATAATTTGTAAGCTAGATTTCCATTCTGACAAATGAGATTTCAGCATTTTGTGACATGATGTGCATTCTACAGTGTGTTCCAGGGACATTGGTGGTTCAGTGGTAGAATTTTCGCCTTCTATGCAGGAGACCTGGGTTTGATTCCCAGCCAATGCACTTCAAGCGCACCCACCACTTGTCTGTCAGTGGAGGCTTGTGTGTTGCTATGACGATAAAGAGGTTTCAGTGGAGCTTCCAAACTAAGACGGATTAGGAAGAAAAGCCTGGTGACTGACTTCTGAAAATCAGCCAGTGAAAACCCTATGGATCATAAGGGTCCGATCTGCAACCGCTCATGTGGATGGTGTTGGACCGGGGATTATTTTGTCCCGTTGTGTATGGCATCGCCGCGAGTCAGGGGCTGACTCGAAGGCAGCTAACAGAAAGTGTATTCTAGCTCTGATTGCGGACGCCTGTGAACCCCTGAAACATTTTTCTTTGCTTCCTTTCTGTGATCTTAATTACGCTGCCCTGGTCTCCAGCCACCAGCCACTCGGAGTACTGAGTGGGCACATCAAGTGGACAGTTGAGGACCTGATCCATCCTCACAACTGTTTGAGCCCACTGTTGCAGCCCCTGTGTCAATCCATCTCGTTGAGGGTCTTCTTCTTTTTCACTGACCCTCTGTTTTACCTAGCATGAGGTCCTTTTCCAGGGACTAGTCCCTCCTGATAACATGTCCAAAGTAGGTGAGATGAAGTCTCACCATCCACTATTCCAACGAGCATTCTGGCTGTACCTCTTCCAAGACAGACTTGCTCATTCTTCTGGCAGTCCACGGTATATTCAATATGCTTTGCCAACACCATAATTCAAATGCATCAATTCTTCTTCAGTCTTCCTTATTCATTGCCACAGAATCTTTCAATATTGCAACTTGAGGCTTGAATTTTTAATTCAGTTCTTTCAGCTTGAGAAATGCCGCGCGTGTTCTTCCCTTTTGGTTTTCTAACTCCAGGTCTTTGCATATTTCATTATAATACTTTACTGTGTCTTCTCAAGCTCCCCTTTGAAATCTTCTGTTCAGCTCCTTTACTTCACCATTTGTTCCGTTTGCTTTAGCTACTCCATGTTCAAGAACTAGGTGAGTACAGCAAAATCTCAATCACCTAGATCCTTTCCGCTGCTGTGCTCAACTTGTACAGAGAGAAGCAAATGCTACAGCAGCGCATGAGCAGTGAGACACTTGGTCAGAAATCGCATGTCCCGGCTGTCCTGAGCCGGTACAGCCCTGCCCAGCCTCTACACCTTCTACATGTACACTCCAGTGCAAGGTGGGGCTGGGGAGCATTCCTGAGGTAACTCTAGGACTGGTGGTGGGGGGGTGCTAAACCATCAGAACAGGAGCTCAATGATTTTACCCCACTCAAGGACATGTTACCACTCTGATCCCCAAGGCAGGGAGGCAAGCTGACAGATTCTAGACAGCCTTCTCAGAACAAGGATTAAAGTGATTCAGCAAACACTCGCTTCCTCCCCAGAGACTGGGGCTGTCTGAAGTCTTACTACATCTGCCTGACCTATGTAGGGCACACAGCTGGTACTGACGCGAAATGTGGGCAAATGCCAATCAAGGTGGGTCTCCATGCTGCCCCGCAAATGCACCGGTATCTTCCACTATTGTGGAATTAGAGCTCTGTGTGGCCGTCTCCCTCAGGGATGGGAAGTTGGGGAAAGGAAGAAGACACGATGAACTCTTTTGAGGATGGGATTATGTCTCATTCATTTTTTTAACTCTCCTTTAAAGTTTAGCCCAAAAGAAAGACTGAACTGGGTTACATGTGTATTTTAATTTTTCATTATAGAGAATTTCTAACATATACAAAAGTACACAGATTAGGATAATGAACCCCTGTTAGGGACTGAATTATGTCCTCGAAAATACGTGCTGGAATTCTAACCCCTGCACCTGTGGATGTAATCCTGTTTAGAAACAGGGCTTCCTTTGTTATGTGAATGAGTCTTATCCGTGTAGGGTGTGTCTTAGACCTAATCACTTCCGAGTTATAAAAAGAGCTGATCAGACACAGGCCTGTGGGCTCTACTTGGGAAGACAGATGCCATGTGAGGACGCTCTACAAGCCAGGGGGTTACCGACAAGGAAGGAATCGACACAGCCAAGACCTTGACTTGGACTTCTAGCCTCCTGAACTGTGAGAAAATAAATTTCTGTTCTTGAAAGCCACCCACGTGTGGTATTTCCGTTACAGCAGCACTGGGAGACTAAGACCTCCCCCCATCACCCAGCTGCAACAATTACCAACTCCGGTGCTGCGAGTTTCATTCATGCCCCATCCTGGGACAGAGTTTAAAAGGGAAGCTCCCTGCACTCACATTGGAGACGCCAAGCGGGAAGCACTTGGTTTATGCATCCTAATAGTCTAAAGCCTAAAGTGCAGCATATCCTGAAAGTCAGTCACCACTTAAAAAACACTTCTCCTTCTGAAGATTCAGGTGTCACGTAATAAGTGGAGAACACTGACAAGAAACTGAAAAGTCTCTAAAAGAAATCACCCATGACTTACCACCAAGAAATAATCACTGTTTAGCATTCAGGCCCACTTCCATGTCAATCTTTTTACTGTGGCATTTATGTACATTATGGTTTTTTGTTTTTAAATTTTTTTATTTAAATGAAATCAGGATGATTGCAGTAGCTAGAGCAGGAGTTCCCAAAATCAAATGCCTACTGAGTCCCTGGGTGATACAAATGCTTAATGCGCTTAGCTGTCAACTGAAAGGTTGGTGGTTCGCGTCCACCCAGCGGCACCTTGGATGGTTTTCCACGGCTGTATGAGTCTCCATCACGTGGACTGCCAGCATCTGTATCGTTATTGTTATACTGTTGTTTTCACAAGCTGTTTCCAATTATTCCTTACTACATGCTGGGCTTTGGATCAGGGCTTCAAACTGGTTTGCTCCAGTTCGAACCTTTGCCAAGAATTTGCATTTCTAACAAGTTCCCTGCTGAGAATGTGCATTTCCACCCCAGATATACTGAATCAGAATCTGCATTTTAACAAGACCCCAGTTGATTCTTATATATAACTTCCTGGGAACTTGTTAAAAAACACAAATTCTCAGCAGGGGTTTGAACCAGTATGAACTGGCTTGAAGCCCTGCTTTGGATTTAAATTAGCACCGAACCACCAAACAACATTGCTCTTTGCTAAAGGCACACCTACCTCTTCTTTGGCAGTTTAATTTTCGCAATATAGCTCAGGCAGTAGTTGATTAAGTCTTGAATTAGGGCCTCACCCAGGTGACCTTGAATATTCTAGGTAAAGAAAATACCGGGGTTACTTGTTTCAGCAGGAGACATTTTCAAAATGGCTTTACGGCAAACCCACGTCTTCAGCCACCGTCACTGGAGGGTCACTAGGCTGACACAGCAGTGACGGTGACACACCACACTGTCTTTTCTCTTCTTTCCCTTTTTCCTCTGGTTGAAAACATCAGGCAAACTAGAAAGGGCTTTAGTCAAAAGCATTTTCTGCTTCATTACTCTAGGTTTTTGTATTCATTACCTTTCAAACGCTTCATGGAAGGCCCAAGGGCTTATCTCTGCTGCTTTTATTCAATTATCTACAGACGTTAAGGGAAAACATTTGTTCCACTTTGGCTTTCTCTTATGTCTGGATAGAATGATCTCACTTATTACTAACCGTAGCTATGAAAGCATAGTATTCGTTACAAATGCTTATAGCAGGTGATGAAAAACCCGGAAATGGACAGTGGTGAAGGCTGCCAACATGATGAACATAATTAATGTCACTGAACTGTACGTGTAAAAAATGTTGAAAAATGACAAATGTTGTTATACATATTTTTACAATTAAAAAAACCTGCTTATAGTAAGGCTGCCTACCCTACTCTCTTCTATCATAAACAGAGAGATTAGATCAAATATCCTTAAATAAAAGTTATAAAAATCTAGATCATCGATTTGGAATAGGTAATAACCACGATTCAAAATTCAGTAAGTAAAAGAGAATACAGAGTGAAAAGATTCGTTCACGCCTGTTCCTTAGCTCCCCAGAGACATTCAACATTAAATATCCTTTCAGAAAATATTTTAGTAGTAGTGAAGAGTACTTAAGGAGCCCTGGTGGCATAGCGCTGAAGCACTCAACTGCTAACCGAAAGGTCAGCGGTTTGAACCCACCAGCCACTCCACAGGAGAAAGATGTGGCAATCTGCTTGCCTGAAGATTAGTCTTGGCAGTTCTACTCTGCTCTATAGGGTTGCTATGAGTCACAGAAACGGGTTTGTTTGTTTTCTTAAATAGAACTTTGGACCCTCGACAACCTACCTGTTTACACAAGAGTTTCCCATCTTTGTATGCTACCAAGCCATTTTCTGGAAACACATAATCATATTTTTCAACCACTAAAACCAAAACAAAAGAAGACTTTAGGATGCAATCATTGAAGCTTATGTTTCTATTTCCTGAATAACACATCATCAATAAAACTCCTAAACTCAAGTAAGGACTGTCAAAGAATATCTCATCTTGGGAACAGACAGGGAGACCGAAAAAAGGCTCCTTTGATTACAAATGTAAAGGAAGATTCTTGGGCTGGGGATGGAGACTTGGTGATAGCTTATTTGGTGTCTCTGCCTTCAGCCTCCCTGTCTATACTCTCAGATGCTACGAGGGCTCCCAGGCCTCGCTGTGAATCAGCATCACCAGCACCACCTGCAAGGTCCAGGCTCTGTCCACAGGCGCTCTGAATCAGAATCTCCAGCAGACTTGCTAAAAATCAGTTGTTTTTTTAAAGCTCCACAGATGATTCTTTTATCAGTCAGATTTGGAAACCATCCATATAAACTCTTAATGGAAGGATTGTCAAACTTTAAGTACTTGATAAAATGCAGGTTCCCAAGCCCCATGACCCCAGACTGCAACATTGTGTGTGCGCTTGGGCCCCCATATCTGCATTTTAATAAGCTCCCCAGGAGATGATGATACAGGTGGGTCTTCAACTTTCTTCTAGCTTCAAAGCTTTCGATTCCATTGTTTCAGTGTCTGAAATGATAAGGATGCTAAAATACTACATGAGAGCAGTGGCATCTCAGCCCCCAGGGGACACTTTGCAAGGTCTGGAGACGTTCTTGGAAGAGGAAGGGAGGATGCTGGCATCCTGTGGGTAGAGGCCAGGGATGCTGCTAAACGTCTGACAATGCACATAACAGCCTCCACAACAAAGAGTTATCCGGTCCAGAGCTTTATGTGCTGAGGCTGAGCAACCCTGGGGCGAGAGGAGTTAAAACAATGCTCAGTTCATCCATTTCTCCACTCCCATTTTTATGGGCCAGGCACCCTGGAAGCTGGGACAATATGGAAATGAATGAGCCATAGCCCTGGTTCTCCAGGTGTACATATAAACAGAGAGTTTCCAGTGAACATTCTAATGTAGTGGGGGTGCACATGAGAATCACTTGGGGTACTTGCTCAAATACAGATTCCTGGGCCCCAAGGAACAGCTGAGTCAAAATCTCCAGCCAAGGCGCCCATAAGAAACTACAGCTCCTGGGATCCTGTGCTGGAGATTCTGGTTCAGTAAGCAGGGGAGGAGCCTGCATGACTCACGATGAGACAACCCAGGGAACGCTGTGCCAGGGCAGCAGAGGAGGTACCTAGACCTGGAGGGCACCTCAACACTTGGGTGGCAGGCTGGTCAGGAGACAGGCCTGGGCTGGGGCTGGCTGGGCTGTTACCTGGACAAGCAAGAAGCATTCCAGGCAGCGAGTCTCCTGTGCAAAGACACAGACACTCGCCTCTCTAGGTGACTCTACCTATGTACCTGAGTACCAAGTGCTTCATCAGCAACTCCAGGGATTTATTCATAGGACTAAAAACAGAGGAAAAATAAAGCCGAGAAAACGTTTCCCCAAACAAGGAAGCAGGAAGTCTGCCAGACGGGTGCAGACTCGGGCTGACTATGACACTTAATGGCTACAGGTCCTGATCGCCTCATGAGAAGTTAATCTTTTATGAAAGTGTAATTAAGAACGTAGAGTTTACCATCATTTCCCAGTTGCTCCTGCACTTTTTCAAAGTCCGACCCGCCTACCACTCCAATTTTGATCTTCTGCCTCAACTCTTGTAGAAAGTCATCCATTTCTTTGGTAATTTTCTACATTTCAAGAAAGAAAATACAACAGTCATGAGCTACAAAATAACCAGAAGACAAAAATTGCAAGGGTAATGCAGCCCTTAACTTTCATACATGCCATTTCAATTATTAGGTATGAACTTTCAGATGCATTAGTTGTAACTTTGGGACGGAGTCCCTGGGTGGTGCAAATGGTTAAGCGCTCGACTACAAGCTGAAAGGTTGGCGGTTTGAGCCCACCCAGAGGTGACTTGGAAGACAGGCTTGGCAATCTGCTTCTGAAAGGTCACAGCGTTGAAAACCCTCTGGAGCAGCTCCACTCTGCACACACGGAGTTGCTATGAGGCTGAACTGACCTGACGGCAACTAACAACAACTTTGGGGCAACGAATCTTCACCAGAATAAGCTTGTTGATTTTTGCTTATTTACCAAAATTTTAAACACACAAACAATATGTTAACAGCTGCGCATCGTTCCAGCCATTCCTCTATGTATTCATATACCTGTCTATATGCACATATACAAATAGTGATGGAATTATTCTACGTATTGTGCACTGACTTGCTTTTTCAGCACTGTGGAGCGGTGACATTTCCGTGTCAATACACACAGACAAAGCTCATTCCTTTCCAGTGTTACACTGTATTCCATTTGTGGATTTAAGCTGTTGATTTTAACACAAAATAATATAATGAGATCAAGAGGAAGTTCAGAATTATTATAATTATACCCCCCAAGCATAAAAGTAAGATCCTTAGAATTCTGTCTGTCATAAAAGAAAAGCTCTTATCTATAAACAGTGATCTCAATGGTATACTTTCATGCTACTTAAATTCTAAACTTTGTGCTAATTCAAAAGAAATTATAAACTAAGATGAACAGATGCCCCCATATTAAGACAAATCATGACTTCTAGAACATTGTAATAATGCAAGACTTTTAGCAGTCTGAATTATATACTTACATGGAATATCCTTACAAATAAACCTACCAGAAATTAAAAACCAAAACATTTTACTCAACCTCAGCATATAAACATCTGGACTTCAGTCTTCTTTTTACTTAAAAAATTTTTTTTTAACCAGAGTAATACATGCAAATGATTAATAAAATATAATTGTACAGAAGGGCTTATTACGGAGTGCAATTTTTCCTACATTTCACTTACAGTGAAATTTCCACCTACCAGACAACATCTGAGGAGCCCCAGTGGTGCAGTGGTTAAGTGCTGGGCTGCTAACCAAAAGGTCGGCGGTTCGAACCCACCAGCTGCTCCATGGGAGAAAGATGTGGCAGTCAGCTTCCATAAAGATTAAAGCCTTGGAAACCCTATGGGGCAGTTCTACTCTGTGTTACAGGGACACTATGAGTTGGAATTGACTAAAGGGCAATGGGTTTTGGTTTGGGTTAAGACAACATCTAGAACTGCACTGTTGTTGTTAGGTGCCACTGAGTTGATTTCAACTCATAGGGACCCCACGTGACAGAGTAGAACTGGCCCATAGGGTCTTCCAGGCTGTAATCTTTATGGGAGCAGATTGTCAGGTCTTTCTCCCATGGAGCCACTGGGTGGATTTGAACAGCCAATCTTTCGGTTAGCAGTGGAGTGCTTAACGACTGCGCCACCAGCCTCTGAGTCAGGGAGAATTGGGCTGACAAGTCCCAGAGTTTCCCAAGTGGTTTACTCAGACCTGACAGCAGAATGGGAGGAAGCGGAGAAGACCCTTTCCACTGCAAAATATTAAAAATGCACTTCTGTCTTCAAACAGAAAGAAGCCGAAGGGTACAATTATTACACCTTAACCCCTGCACACACTGATGAGCTACATGGTATTTTGGTCGGCCACCATTACATGTTCTGTGATGTGGCTGGCTCACAGAAAGCGTCTTTTCTCTTCCAAGTGGCACAAGTATGTTTTGACAGTAAACCAGACACAGCTGCGGTGACCACTACAGCGCATCTACTTGACCCCCCACTAAAGTGGAGGCCTTTAGCGTGAAATAACTGCACAGTAAAATTGTTTCGATGTTCCCAAATAACCTTTGTGCTCATAATCACACAGAATCCTTTAGAAATCACCCCAGCCAAAATAAAACACAGAGAAAGAGCCAGAA